TACTTTAAAAACTATACTATTGTGATACCCAAAAGAAACCTTAATCATGTGTATTGTACATTATCCTATAAACTGTAAAGTAAAATCTACATGTGACGTCAGAACGCCTTCGGTGACTCGTAGTGGCAAAGTAATTAAAAATAATAAAATCGCTTACATATCGTTTGTTGGTTGAGAATCTCATTGGGAACACGACCAACTGTTAAACCGAAGGTGAGCGGATGGATAGCTTCACATTTTCATTGAGAATCTCTAGCCAAAAGCGATATTAACCAATTTTGTCATTTTTGTAACCCACTTTATTTGTTTTAACAACATAAGCTATAAAAAACGATTATCATAGCAGGCTGGGACGGTGGTATCTTTTCTCAATCTGTCCACCAAAATTCACACTGAAATTACCACGCCTCCACTTCAGAAGCCGACAAAAACAGCAAAATACGATAACACATATTTTTCTTCAAGGTGGATTACCTGCGCAACTGAGCAGAGTTTTCACCTCTTAATCTGCCATTATTTTCTTTTTTTATATTTCCTATAATTCATGCATCAGGCACGAATATTATAAAATCAAAAGTTCAATAAGTGTCAATCAAATTAAAATTCGGGAATGTTGAGCTTTCGAATCTTATTAACTGAAAGAAGGAAAATGTATGGATTGGCACGAAGTCGTCTGTCATCAGAGCGCTGTTTCATCGAAAGTTGGCTACTAACGAGAACGCCATAAACGTTAGACCACTGCTCTGTAGGCTACCAACATGTACTAATCTCTTTTGCCTACGATTAAGTGGCGTACTAACTGGATCGTGGGCTATTGTTTGTTTCCTTTGTTTGTCTATGAAGCATGTCAGATCATGGGCCTCCTGAGTGCGCGCCGAGAGAGGCAGGTTGACTGTGAGAACCATGCGGGATCATGCGTGATTACCGCCTACGAGACTTATGGGCGCATTTCGGAAACAAACAGACCCACCAGTGCTGCTACCGAAGGATCCATGTGGCAATTGCACACGAGTCTCCACGAGTATTATCGGGCCTGCTTGTTGTCGGACGAAGCTGATCGCGAGTGCGTGGAAGCCCTTGCCTATATACTCCGAGCTGAGCGCGACTAACGCCGCCAGTTACAAACAACTCGCATCAGTGAAATTAGACGGCAATTGGGAGGCGGGTCTACATCTCCACCTCCACTACCAAAGCAAACCCCGAAGCGAGGGCAAGACGACAATGACGCGGGGCCAAACCGGAAAAGATCCAAGCAGGCACAACAGACCGATGTTATCGATTTGGTAAGCTCTGATAGAGGCGAAGCTAACCTTCCAGCGCCAATTCAGATTGCACCGCAACATGACGCTGATAATGATGAGGCTGACGTCGCACCGAAAGAAGAGAAACAGGAAGAGTGTTGAGAAAGGTGGCATTAGGAAGTAACGATTTATTCAATGAATGTCATTTGCGTCATTGTTGATTTGTGCAGTTTGGTATTTTTTAAATGACAAGTCATCGCGCCCAAATATCACAGAAATTGTGCCATAATATGACAGACACAAATCGAACTGTGACTTCCCCTATTGTATTCGAGCAACACGCTAGACAGGGGAGGGGGGCGTCGATAAACCGGTGGTACATGTAATACCGGTATATGTCGCCCCCAAGCAACCCGTTTATCGGGATGCTACCGT